GATGCTTTAGGTACTCTGTCCTGTAAACCAAGCAATTTTAGGCAAAGGGTTAGGAAAGTGATAAATGAGGCGAAGTGAAGTTGGGGTGGAAATAATTAAAAAGAAAAAAATTGCAGTGAAGTGAAGTGAAGTGAATGACATTACGCATCCATGACTGTTGGTTTCCTTTTGTTTGTGTTTTGGGTGTTGTATTTTTTTTCTCTCTCTCTGTAATTGTTGTTGTATTTGTTGCAGTTGTTTGTATTTCTCTGTAATTGTTGTAGTTGTTAATTGTATTTGGTTTGTATTCATTGTGGTAGGATGTCCTTGTTGTATTTGCTGCAGTTGCTTGTATTTCTCTGTAATTGTTGTAGTTGTCAATCGTATTTGGTTTGTATTCACTGTGGTAGGATGTCCTTATTGTTGTGTTTTGTTTGAACGTGTTGTCACTTAGTGTAATGTGTGTTACTTGTCTGTTGTGTCCTATTGTGTACTACTGCCACCGGGCTAAAACCCAATTGCAGTATAATAAATAATGTAATGTAAAATTTACAATCGGTCAGTCTGTCCCACCCATGCCTAGTCTCCCAAAGGGTCTTCTTCCTTAAGACATAGACACATTAATTATATCTTTGTATGCACCACTTCCAGGCCCATCCATGCAATTGCACCTATAAAAATACTGCATATAACCAGTTATTAGACTTGCAACAAAACTAACCTTTTTGAAGTTTTGATGGCAACTTTGAGCCTCGTAATCTCTTGCCTTACTTTGTCAAGATTCTTAGAAACATCATCCACCTTCTTTTGTGCAGCTTTCATACATCTCTCCCTTACTGTCATGATCTGTTTACGTAGACTCTGAACCTGTGAATCTACTTCTCCTGCCTTCTCTGTAGCAGCATCATACTCTATATACAAAATAAACTGATATGAACAAAGGAACTATTAGTCTTATTTTACTTTTCAAAGGTTATGAGCATTGTTATCCTTTAAAAATGTGGTAAGTTTCAAATATTAGGAATGGCAGTAACAAATCAAATTCATTCTCACGACAAAATTAACATCCATCAACTCAAATACTCACACAGAAAAATGAAACTACACGTTGAGTCCTGGAGAGCTAATATATCAAAATAATAGTGTCTGTATATAAAACCTGCAATGCTAATCTTCCCAACCCAGTATCTTACAAAGGCAAACTCAAGAAAATGAAATATTTATTTTATCAAATATTCTTCACAAAAATGATTACTCTTTCTAAACAATGGGTACTTCAGATTGCATCATTACTGTATTCTTCTCTTCTTCCACACAACAGGAATTTTCCGTTTAACATACACTTTCTTGTTGAGGTAATTTGCTCAAGTGGTAACACTTGATTTGTATTCAGGAGATCCCAATTTGAATCACAACTAGGACAATGATTATACTGAGGTTTTGTGGCTTTCCTGAGACCCTCTAAGTAAATGTCAAGAGAGTAACTTGAATTAGGCCACAACCACCTCCTTCAATATCCTTTCCAAATCATTATTCACTCTTATCAAATTATCTGACACTATTAAGTCTGAGTTACTGACAGAACTGTAAAATAAACTAGAATATATATATTTGCAGAAAGTACTTTTGAGAAATATAATTTCAATTTTATAAAGCTTGCTAAATGGTGCCTAATTAATTTCCTACTAGAAGGTATTAACACCAAGGAATAAATAAAAATATGTAGTGCTTAATAAAAATTATGCACAACAAAACAGTGCAGGGTTCACAAAATCAAAGTTATCACGACAAATTAGTCATAAATCTAAATTTAAAACAAAGTACCCTGTCATTACCTGTCTGAGCCTTAGTAACTATATCTGTGAGCTTTCTAACATGTGCTGGATCAGGGGCAGCTGCTTTCACTTTCTCCTTCTGCCGTTTTAACTGCTCCTGGAGAGTGGGAAGCTGTTCAGCTGAAAGCTGAAACAATATATTTTTTAAGCATTGGTTTCATCATCAAACTGGGTAGGAATGGAATGGTATAAAATATTCAATTCGGGGAACTAATGAATATTTCATCACGTCCACTACTATTTACATTTTGGGATTCCAGGATTTTACTCCCTGGATCTTTTGCTTTTGTATCCTGCTCGAATGACTATTCCTATAATAGTGGACTCATCTCACTTCTACACATTGAAATTTATTTCCATTTTTGATAATCTTCTATCTTACCATCCTCTCTCATTTACCTTTGTTTCATGATACATACTCCTACTTTGTGACACTGCTCTTTATTCTTGCATCCTACTACCCTCCTCATGAGGTAGCGTAGTTGGTTGAAGCACTATGCTACAAGCCAGTAGGTCATGGGTTTGAGTCACGATGAAGCAGATTCTTTTTTGTTTTAATTGACCTAATCCTACCAGCCATACTATGGCCCTGGGGTCAACTCAGCCTCAAACAGAAATGAGTACCAGGAATTTTCCTCGGAAGTAAAGGGCGGCCGGCACATAAGGCTGACCTTACGGTCATCTGTGGGCTGACTGAATAGGTAATTTGGGACCTCAATATCTCACAACCTTATGGCCTCCATGGCCTATTACAGGATATATTTCAGCATCAATATTCTGAAACAGCTTGTTCAAATTTGTACTTCACAGAATCATTTCTGCAGCAAGTATTCTCACACCTGACTATCGACAACAAGTAAATTCAGGGAACCATAACCGCTAGATAGTTTTTACATAACAGCTGTAACAAGCGTTATGCATATAGCTGATATTTTGAGCTCTCTGCAAAATTTGTTTGTTCAGTTTCAGTAAAAGCACCTGATGACCACATGTAACTGCACGAACTAAAGTATGATTTCGTTAGTTCACTGATGCAACATTCTCCTCCCTTACTAGGGAAGATGAGATGAAAATATTTACATTATTTATACATGTGCTGTACAAGTTGAAGTAGAACATGAGCTCTGAGATGCATGAAAATGACAGGCCTAATTATAATAGGCAAATGGACTCTTCTTACCACCCAACCTCTGTAATGACAGCAAAGGTACTGTACATCTCAAGGCCATCGGTCATGTCTCACTGAACCTAGTGTGCAGATGTGATGTCCGGTGAGAAAGCTGATGAATTTCTTGAACTAAATAACTATTAGCCACTGAAGGAAGATCCTGAACTATAAACTGAGAAGTGATGCTTCAGTATTTAAAAAAAGTAAAAAAAGTAAAGTTATCCCTGTACCAGGCCATGAGGGTCCCACACTATCTAGAAAATCGGCTCAAAGATAGCGGTAAGGTTGTCAGCCTTACGCACTGGCCGCGCTTTACTCCCCACGAAAATTATTTAATTAATTCCTGGTACTCATTTCTGTTAGAGGCTGAGTAAACCCCAGGCCCTAGTGCAGCTGGAAGGATTAGGTCAACTGAAAAAATCCAATGACCTCATCGGGACCTGAACCCGCGACCTTCCGGCTCGTAGCATAGCACCTCAACCACTATGCTACCGCGTGTCCCCCTTCGGTATTTAACCCATAATAAATGTTAGATCATGTTCTCTTCGTTCTGAATAGCCCTTTATGTAAATAATTCTCAAAGTATAAAAAATTCTGCAATATGGAGAATATTTTAGGGGCATGAACACACCTGTATCTCGATCTCATATTTATTCAAATTCATCCTCATGGTCTGCAGTTCCTGTGACAACAAAGTGACTTGGTCTTCCAATGAGACTTGCCGTGTACAGAGCTGCCTTGCACGGGACTCTAACTTCTGCAGTTTCTGTTCCATTTGATCCAGCTTACAGGGACTTGCAACAGAGGTAACTGCCACAGACTGCCCCATGCGACCTCGCAAAACTGTCTTGCCACCACCACTCATTGTTCCTAGATAAATATTAACCCTCGTCATAAAGGACAATGTATGCAAAAAAATATTACTTAATGAATGGGATTCTGGATGTTCAAAATTGGAAAGAGGAATTATATTTCTTTATTTCTTTACTGGTTATGTAAATTCAATGAACAAAATACAAGAGGAATGTCACATAATTTATTATTTTTGGTTACTGTACTTCCTTCTTTTCAGCAACTGCCCCAGAACTTAGTGAGCTAAAGAAACATGCAACTGGAACTCCACACACACACACACACACACACACATATAAACATACATAACAAATGTTTCCACCCATAAGTTCAGGGATCAGGGCATGAAGAGCATTCAAAGAATAATTCTTGACTAGGAAAAAAACATCTTCTTAAGTCAATGTCAGCTCCTGCCATGTGATATGTAGCTGTCCAAAAATGAGAAACAGGAACACAGTTAAAATTCAAATCTGAAAGAAATACAGTTCATATTCCCCCCCTTTAGTTCATATAGCATTTGAGAAATTCAAAACAGAACTTATTAATATATCATTTACGCAAAGCTGCAATGCAAGAGGATGATTTCCTGAACAGGTGGATAATTCTTCTAGGAATACTGGCTAACCTCAATGCTATGAACATTAAGCCTGGTGTGTAGTCAAACATCTGCAGATTCTGGATAACTTCTTGGTTGCTTATATATAAAATGCACTTGCAATTCTTCTGAATAAATAATTTTACTAAAACCTTCAAATTCTTTACTTGAAGTCCAGTAATCCAAACCTGCACAGTGCTATAATCAGTTTGGATTATTGAGACTGCACTGTACATGTAATACATTTTGGAATGACAGTAATGATATTTTATTCTTATTTTCTGTGATGGTATGATATGTATATACATAAACTCCAAACTAAGACTGCATGGAGATAAAATATTTTTTACTTCTACGTTCAAATTTGAGATTGAGGTTAAACAGATGAGACTCAGCATCAAATGAAATCTTCCAAGAAACACTGAGTGTACAAAGAAAACGCTGTGCAAAGGATAGAAAGTATAATACTGAGGTGGTAATAATGTACATAAAGACTTAGAAAATGGAGATTATAATAGTAAGTATTTCATTATCCAACAACTTTAAGGAGCAGAGGGAAAGATAACACATATAACCATTAGAAGGACTGCATAGAGTGATAGATGGAAGGCTTTTGTAGGAAGCAGCCTGGAATGATAGCCTGTTATAATGTACTAGAACAGGAAACCTGTGCAAATGAGAGAATTCCAAGACAAAGCTATATTTTGTTAAGAAATTTCCTACTTCAGTTCACTGTGGTGCTAAATACTATTTATAGATTATGGTAACATCAGCATTCATAAGAATGAAGCTCACCAGCAAGTTCAATCAGTTGTCCACCCAGTGTTACTACCCGGAACCTCTGCTGTCCAAATGCTATCCTTGTAGCTTGGTCTAGGTCATTTGCAACCAGGGTATTTCTTAATCCATAGTAGAATGCTGGCAATACACGTTCATCCTCGACCTGGATAAGGTCAAACAACCGTGGCACTCCCTCAGGCCTGAAAAAGCCAAATTATCATTACTAAAGATTGAAAAACACAACTAAGAATGCTACACTGACAGACATGATAATGTCTCATGCCAGAGCAATGTTTCTCAATGGCAATAATGATATTTCACTTACAGATCTGTTACAGAGACATTCTATTTTGTTTCCCTGAACATGTAGCATATTGGCTACTTTTGATACAGACATCTTGTACAGCGATAGTAACTTGATCTAATGATTGTTAAGTATTACTTGTTTCATGAATGAAAGCATGTGGTGGCTTCATATACCTACAGTTAAAAAAACTGTTTCATGAAACTGTTATACATATTTTATGAAAGGAAAAATTCTCTCTACTCCCTACAAATATGAGTTGTCTGAGAAAGAACGACTACACTTGAAAAATTATTACTGTAAGAATCAATAAAGCTACAGGAGTGTAGATTTAATAACATGAAAGAGAAACTCTGAAAAGTTTTATTTATGCTATGTGTACTATGTGTATGGATGCACACATGTACTAACTGGGCAAAATCAGAGAGGCCAGTTGGCAGTTGCTCTTAGAATGGTTTCCAAACTACAGAAGGTGGAGTGTGTGTGGTGGGTGGCAGAAACAAAATCGTTACAAGAGTTTAAAGGAAGCTCATAATGAAACATGTTGAAATGCTTCTTTCTTGAGAAATCATTCTGCGTTGTGTGCAACAATTGAAAATACTCGGCAGTGTAAAGAAAGGGAAGAACCCTGGAACATCAATATTACCACGTACGGCAGAATGCATAAGGCAGAGCTACTAAGGCTACCCAAGAAGCCAGTGCACAGGGTGAGCCAAAATTCAACAATTCTTGTTTCATAGTTCCTGATATGTTGTGCAAACATTCAAGATCTTGTGCATATAAAATCCAATATGTGCAACAGTTCTCAGAGGAAGATTATGCATTGAGTGGATAATCTGCTTGTCTCATGCTACAGAAAACGGACGAGGATTATGATTACTCGATGCATTTTGTATTCTCTGATGAAGCAACACTTCATGTTAGTGGGTACTTGAACAAACACATTTGATGTGTGGGGGTTCTAAAACCCAAATTCTGTTACAGAAGAGGAATGACAGTGTCAAAATGAATATCTGGTATGCTGAAGCACATAACAAGGTGACTGGTCTTTCTTCTTGGCAGAACACACCATCACCAGTAACTGCTACTCCAATATGTTGGAATTACATGCAGTCCCACAGACAAAGGAAGTAGGTATATGGGTAATATTCCAACAAGATGGAGCACCATGGTATTAATGTTATAATCACCAGAAAAAGTTTCTGAATAAAACCTTCCCTGGAAGACAGACTGGAAGAGGCAGGCCCATTGCCATGGACTCCAACATCTTCTGGTTTAACCCTCATGGAATTCTTCATATGGCAATACATAGAGGACAAGATGAACTCCATAAAGGTTGTTTCTTTATAGGTCTTGAAGGATCATATAGTCTACACTATGGAAGGAACCCCACCACCAATATGTGATGATATCCACATGCTGAATATTGAATGACCATTGTGCAGGCAACAAAGGAGGTTCAGGCCAAACTATATTAAAGCAAAAGCACTGTTGCAGTTTCCCTCTCATATCATGAAAGCTGCTCTCTTATCACTTGTACTGACTTCACATTAAGATTTTTAAAATGTGGTCATTCTTTCTTGGACATCTTGTACTTTCATATCCTGGCAAATAGATATGTTACTATGCAGCGATTCTGTAAACAACCGTTTCTGGGCAACGGCTCTGTAAACACATTCCCGTGGCAATGAATACAAATGCAACAATAGAGTTACTGTTGGAAATGGAGTGTTTCTACATGGTCCGTGCTCAGATCTTATACGCAAGGGATAAAGTCAGTTGTTAAGCAGTTCTGTACGGAAGGCTGTGAAGGAAAGAGTTAGTTGTAAGAGTGTTCAGTTGAAAGTCCAGCTGTGAAGAGAAGACTTTATGTCTGATATTTGGAGTGTGTAATTCAGTGAGACTGTTATAATTTTTGTGTTAAAATAAGTTGCAAGGAAACGACTAGTGGAAACTGTAATAGACTGAGGACACCAGTCTGTGTCAGTGATCTGAAAATTGCAGTCACGAGTCATGAGTGCATAGTTAGTTAGTTAGTTAGTTATTGGAGAGGGTGGGTTTCCCCATGCACTTAGACCAGTATTGGTCCATTGTGCTTCCCTCTATGATGTTCTACCAGTCTCTATACACTACCGATACTGGTGCTTACCATCAGTCCCGACCAAGCCAGTGAGTTCGGCCTCTACTGGCTTAGCGGTATCTATAATGCTTCCCTCATCTATCAGAGGCGTTAGAGACTACTGTTGGGCAGGAAATGTCCTTGAATTCTGCTCAGTGACCTCCTTAGGAGATATGAGGTTCTTTTACGTGCCGTAAAGCTACGACACGGGACCCACGGCTTAAAGTCCCTCCTGGAGGACTTGTTCCCTGAATTTTTCCGCCCTTAAAAATTCCACAACCTCCGCCTGGTTTGAACCCGCGTACTACGAGTCATGAGGTGGGAACGTTACCTCTAGCCTATGGAGGCCGCTTCGTGAGTGCATAAGTGGTCAATAAACTGAGTCACCAATCCAAATCTGATCTATAGTTACTCATACACGTGATAATATTTCGTAACATAACAATAGTTTACCGGTTGATTGGTGTTCTGCACTTCTGACGTAAATGTTCTTGTTTCTCCAGGGCAATGAATGTGGCTCTCCCAATGTCATTCCTCTTCAAGAACTCAATGCATTTCTGTCCGGTGACCACAGTATCCACAACAATGCTGTCGAGGGGGCCACAGGCAGTGGATATGGCCACATCATACTTCCGATCAATAGCTCCTAAATCTCCCTAAAACAAATGCAAATTAACCTCCCTTGATGTGTATATTTAACTAACATGACATATGCAACACTCAAACTGTGTGTCACTGTTCTTGACATCATGTTGATGAAGAAAAGGATATCCCTGCAATAAAAGGAGTTCAGATAAGAACTCAGCTGGTGTTCCTGACTCACCAGTCTCCCAAATATTCCAGGCAAATGCCCAAGCTGTTTCTGTTCCATCAATGAATCAAGCACACGACCACGTGAACGAGTGGCCTGCATTGAAGACCTTGTCTCCTCCACCTGAGCCCTGTGAGTTCGCAATTCTGCTGATACTGCTGCTTCATCTTTTCGCACTTGGGCAAGTTCTACCTGTGCCTCTTGTAACTGCTTTTCTGCCGCTGGGATCCCAGTGTTCAGTTCTTCTATTTCACTGAAAGCATAATTAATAGCAGCATAATGGTCTTCAAATTAAACACATATTTTCTACCTTTGAGAAGGAATGAAAGGCATAACAATATAGAATTACTGGGTTTTTGGACATTTTCCATCAGCCGGTTTTCTAGAAAAAAACATGACATTTCGGAAACTGGAGCTGTTTCTGTCCTTAGGTGAGAGGGGGAATACACCTACTCAGTTGGGCCCCTTAGTTTCTGTTTCTGAAATGCTGTGTTTTCTATTTTCTAGAATACCGGAAGATGGATAAAGTCCAAAAACCCAGTAATTCTGTGTGTTATACACCATCATCAGAACCCTTTAGAATCTACTCATAACAACGTTCAGTTTAACTCGTTCACAAAAGAATACTTTCAAAATATCATTAAAGGAAGACTGTACTTTTAAGGAACAATATCTTCATGAAAACGTGTAACACAAAAGAAAAACGGAAGCAGAAAATTTGAGCACTATTAGCAATGCTCATAGGGAATTATGGTTGGAGCCACGAAGAAATGACAGCATATGTGGCAAAATGTTAACAGGCTGTTTCACTGTTGGCTGTTGGACTCCCCCCCCCCACTAAGCGAATTAAAAAAATATATCTTAAAATGATATCATTAGGAGAGACCTGGATATATCATGGACTTACTCTTTTCTCCCCTCCACAGTTTTTGAGGCAGTCATATAATTATTTTTTATCTCTTCCAGTTTTGAACGTTCTTTCTGCTCGCTACTCACATACAGGTCCAATTCTGCTTTGGCAATATCATACTGCAAAATAAAAACATACTGTAGCATGTAGAGCCATTTCTAGGCAATGATCACAAACAAGTTCCCATGGCAACAATAGAGATGGTGTTGGAAACGGTGTTTTCTGTGGTGGTCCATGACAAGGGGTTATAAGGAGGACAAAGGGAAATGAGAGCTGGAAGGGAGCCGCCATTTAGAGAGGACTTGATCACTAAAGCAGAGGAATAGCCACTGTTAGAAGCCATTACCAGGAGAAGTCTAGTGAAGACTGAGAACACTAGTGTGTGTGTGTAACAGTGATTTGTAAAGTGTGAAGATCAGTGATGGGGGTATAATCAAGAGTAAATACGAGTCATATGTTAAAGTGGTCAATAAATCAAATATCCAATCCAAAATCGCATCAAGAGCCACACATATATGTGACAATATTTAACAACATTCATATACATTTAAATTTAGCCACATAATAGAGTAAATAGACACACATATGGACAACAACAAAAACAACTGGTTTGAATGGGCACCTGTCACATAGAAAGCCAAGTTATCAGAAGACTGTAAGGTCAAGGACTATGTAAGTGTAATGACTGATTTCTTCATAGAGTCCGTGAGGAGTGAAACAGATAACATGGCAGAAAGATGTATTTTGTCATTTACTTAATAACAAAGTCAGCGGCCTCCGTAGTCTAGAGGTAACGTTCCCACCTCATGACTCGTAGTACGCGGGTTCAAATACCCGGCGGAGGTCGTCGAATTTTTAAGGGCGGAAAAATTCAGGGAAAAAGCCCTCTGGGAGGGACTTTAAGCTGTGTGTCCTGTGTCGTAACTTTACGGCACGTAAAAGAACCTCATATCTCCAAAGGAGATCACTGAGCCAAAATTACGGACGTTTCCCGCCCAACAGCAGTCTCTAATACCTCTGGTAGAGGGGGGAAGCATTACAGATACCTCTCAGCTAGTAGAGCCGGTCTCGCTGGCTGGGCGGGACTGATGGTAAGCACCAGTACCGGTAGGATATAGAGACTGGTAGAATCCTGGTCGCGGTGCATGGGGAAACCCACCCTCTCTAACTAACTAAAAACTAAAACTAATGACAAAGTCAGATTTTCAGACTATATAACACTGACCAGCAGGACGTTTAGTGAATTTAATTTGATGTGGATGGAAGTGGTCTTGGATTAACCCTTTCGCGCGGTTATTTAAATTCCGCTGCCGTCTCTCCGGCGGTAATATATTCAGCCGGCCATTTAAATTTTGCTTGAAAATGATTTATTCATCATTGTTCTTAAATTATATGAGATAGGAACATGAAACTTTCAC